TTCATCTCACCGTCGCCCCCGCCACCGTCCGCGTCGCCCCCGCCGCCGCCTCCCTCCGCCTCGCCCTCGCCGCCGCCTCCCTCGACCTCACCGTCACCACCGCCTCCCTTCACCTCACCGTCGCCGCCGCCTCCATCCGCCTCGCCGTCGCCGCCGCCGTCGTCCGCCTCGCCCTCGCCGCCGCCTCCCTCCGCCTCGCCATCTCCGCCGCCATCGTCCGCGTCGCCCCCGCCGCCGCCTCCCTCCGCCTCGCCCTCGCCGCCGCCTCCCTTCACCTCACCGTCGCCCCCGCCACCGTCCGCCTCGCCATCTCCGCCGCCATCGTCCGCGTCGCCCCCGCCGCCGCCTCCCTCGACCTCACCGTCGCCGCCGCCTCCCTCCGCCTCGCCCTCGCCGCCGCCTCCCTCCGCCTGGCCATCTCCGCCGCCATCGTCCGCGTCGCCGCCGCCGCCGCCTCCCTCCGCCTCGCCCTCGCCGCCGCCTCCCTCCACCTCGCCGTCGCCGCCGCCACCGTCCGCCTCGCCCTCGCCGCCGCCTCCCTCCGCCTCGCCATCGCCGCCGCCATCGTCCGCGTCGCCGTCGCCGCCGCCTCCGTCCGCCTCGCCCTCGCCGCCGCCTCCGTCCGCCTCGCCGTCTCCGCCGCCTCCCTCCGCCTCGCCGTCGCCGCCGCCTCCCTCCGCGTCGCCGTCGCCGCCGCCTCCCTCCGCGTCGCCGTCGCCGCCGCCTCCCTCCGCACCGCCGTCGCCGCCGCCTCCCTCCGACTCGCCGTCGCCTCCGCCTCCGTCCGCCTCGCCGTCGCCGCCGCCTCCCTCCGCGTCGCCGTCGCCGCCGCCTCCGTCCGCCTCGCCGTCGCCGCCGCCACCGTCCGCGTCGCCGTCGCCGCCGCCGCCGTCCGTGTCGCCGTCGCCGCCGCCTCCCTCGGCATCGCCCTCGCCCCCGCCGCCGTCCGCCTCGCCGTCGCCGCCGCCTCCCTCCGCCTCGCCGTCGCCGCCGCCTCCGTCCGCCTCGCCGTCGCCGCCGCCACCGTCCGCGTCGCCGTCGCCGCCGCCTCCCTCCGCCTCGCCGTCGCCGCCGCCTCCGTCCGCCTCGCCGTCGCCGCCGCCCGCATCGCCCACCGGCGTCTGCGGTGACGGCACTGCCCTCGACGCAGTGACGCGGAAGTGCGAGGTCTCGCTCGACGAGTTCACCGAGGTGGTCGGCGGCAAGTGTGTGGTTGCGTGCTCCGACAACCGCCGCCTAGAGGAGGCGCAAGAGGAGGGCGCACAGGAGGCGGCGCCGGCGGCGTCAATCGTCGACGGCTTCCTCGAGCGGCACCCGGACTTCGTCGCCGAGCTGCGGCGCGCAAGCGACGAGGAGGTCATCAAGATGATGCTCGAGCTCGGGCAGGATTTTGGGCTGCCGGCGCTCGCTTAAGGCGAACGAGCGTCGGCGGCATCACTTCGCCTACTCCTATCCGCGACTCTCCAGCATCGCATTATCTCCCCGCCCTGCCGCCGCCACCGGACGGCGCCGTCGAGCGCCGCCGCCTTGCCGGCCACGGCCGCGCTCTCGCGCTATCCTCCTGCCAGCTGCAGGCCAGGGCGGAGGCGTGCGGCCTTTCGCCGCCAGCGGCGCCGCCTCCCTCCGCCTCGCCGTCGCCGCCGCCTCCCTCCGCCTCGCCGTCGCCGCCGCCGCCCACGCCGCCGCCGCCTGCAACCCCGCCGCCGGCGGCGCCGCCGCCGTCCGCCTCACCGTCGCCGCCGCCGCCCACGCCGCCGCCGCCATCCGGCTCGCCGTCGCCGCCGCCGCCCACGCCGCCGCCACCTGCTCGCCCGCCGCCGTCTGCCTCGCCGTCGCCCCCGCCTCCCTCGGCATCGCCGTCGCCGCCGCCGCCTCCTTCGCCGCCGCCTCCTTCGCCGCCGCCAACGACCCCGCCGCCTCCTTTGCCGCCGCCGCCCTCGCCGCCGCCGCCGGCCCTGCCGCCTCCTTCGTCGCCG